TTCACCACTCGGGCTTCTTTTCAATTTCTCGAGAACTTCCTCTGTGGGTAGGTTCGCCAAATTTCACAGATACACAGCTGAAGGTACTAGCCTCCAAATGGTATAGTAGCCCGCTTCCCTATCCCCTTTGCTTTTCTGCCATTCCTCTATATGTCACGGCACTTTTGAATGGGATGACCTAATAAGTATTGGGCAGAATCTTGACCCCTGCCAGGACTTGAATCTAAACCTGACGCTTCTTGCCCTGACCATTTTTATTTAGGTGCGAACCTAAATCGTTCCGGGTGTTCATTATTCTGTTTCTCCTGAAATGGGATTTCATACCTCTCTTGAATTTTTACTCACTGAATTGGAAAAAAAAACAGTCCTTGAAAGGTCCACCACGGCCAAGATCGGACGTTGGGGATCCCAGCACAAAAATTTATTTTGTCGCTCGACGGAGGGAGGGTTCTATTTGTGTTTGGGATAACTATATCCGGTGGTCGACTTTTCTCGATTTCCCCTGTTTCAAGTGCGCTGTATACTCCTCGCCTCGGCGACACGTTTTAGGGAAAAATGGAAATTTTTTTCAAGAAACTGGCAAAAGTGATAGGAATTTGTGAGACCTTGGGAACAGGAGGTAGGTGGCATGAGAGGGGGTACAGGGTAATCATTGATTGAGGATTTTCGTCGAGTCCGTGGGACTCCCCCCTACGACCCCTGACCTCACCCCCATCCCCTAGTTTCCTCCTCTGATATGAATGAGCTGTCGGAGGGTGGGGGAATGAGGGAGGGGAGTATATAGCACCTCGAAAGGTCAACAACAGGGGACCGAGAAACATTTTTCCCAACGCCACGAATTTCTCTCAGAAGGAGATACAACCCTCCCTCCCACACAACAAAGAAAATACTACCCCCCCCCCCCTAATGGCCATGGTCACGTGTCCACCCCGATATAGTCGGCAGACTGTAGCGATAGTCTTCATTCTCGTCCGTTGCAAACAAGAAGAATCAAGTTACCAAAAAATTTTTTAGACAAATCTGGCCCCCACCCGCTAGCGACCGAATACACCCCTCCCCCTGTTAAGGAATGCTCAACGATGATGTGTCCTGAGGGGGGAGGGGGGGTCTAGCCTCAGAAGGAAATTTAGAAGGAGGTGTTTCATTCAGGAAATAATTTTTTCCAACGGCACGACGTGCCTTGTATACAGCACCATTCCTGTGCTTCTGGAAGAAGTTAGCTCATTTCATAAAATGCAATGCTAACAGCCAAAAATTATGGAACCAGTAATCTAAGCTTGCTAGGTGCATTCAAAAAATCTCCTTGGAAATAATAACCCTCGTTCCATCCATAAATACCGGATAATTTGTGGCAGTCCGCTCCATTGTAGGCGGACCATCTAGACCGAGGAAACCCATTTCCACGGGCACTTTTTTCTAGCGGGTTATTGAATAATATGCCCTTGCACTAGAGGTGCTAGTTCGACGCTAAACAAATTCTGCAACCAAGTAGTGGGAAATGGGGAAGGGAAACCCTCGTAGCCAACCAGGACTACGAAAAAGTATTGCTCACAATCTGAGGCTAAACCCGTGGTGTTCACGAAAATTTACTGTAGAATTCGTTTGTACTCTTACTCTTAGTCTTATTAATATTATTATTAATCATGAGCTTTGGTGGCAGCCCCATGGCGGGAACTGCTCATGTGGTATGCCAACGCAACTTTTTCCTATAGAATGCTCGATGGGGATAGAAACTAAACATTTTCAAATCCACATGCAATGCACCGAGTCAGCCTGCTTCAGGCCTCCATGAGACTGCTTCAAGGACGAAGCACACCATCCTCCAGCGCTGCTCGGTGAGGAAGAGTTGTACTTCAATGATAACGTCATTCTCCTGGTTAACAGTTTTCTCACCTATTTGTTTCTTTACTATTTTTCTGCTCCCTTTGAAGAGGAGTTTGCACTTCTAGTTCAGAACCTTCACATTAGGGAGTTTGCTCTTCCTGACCCATGACCTTGGTTTTTGGAGTACAAGTACATTTGCGAAGTCGCACAGATGCATGCGGTAACGCGCGCGAAGAGTTTCTGGACACAGCTGTTTTTGCCTTTTTGTGTATTCCACTCTTCGTACTGGCTTTGAACATTCCTGAATTGAATTTATATAGGTTAGTTCATCTCACGCGCGTCCCTTCTATTATGCAATTAAATGCGCCTTACACCTTTTTATTGAGTTATTCCAGGACATGAAATCAACGGCTCAGAGAATGCGTTTTCCGAGCTCAAAATTAGCTGCATTAATAGCGGAGGTGCGCCTTATACCTTACAATTAGAAATACGGTATTCACCATTGACATCGAAATTAATGAACGATACGAAATGAGGTGCTGACAAAGCCATAGGTGAGCTAAGGACATGGAACTGACCACTGATAAAACCATATGTACCCTATTTTTTGGGGTGTAAACCTCACATGTGTATAGGGGGAGGGGCATATCGCTACTTATGCGTCGAATGTTTCTTTGGGCTCTGCTTTCGCCTATTTTCGGTTTGTTCCTATCTATGTGAGTAATTTATTTCGAATAGCAAGTGCTTTAGAGGTAATTAGAAAGCTAGGGTATAAAAACATTGAAAAAGCTGCTGACGTTCAGAAGCTTCTCACGCGCGTCGCCTCTATCATCCAATCAAATGCGCCGTACACCCTCTTAATTGGGTTATTCTAGGACATGTTAACGGCTCATAGATTGCATTTTCGACAGAAAATTAGTTGCGTTTATGGCGGGGTGCGCCTTATAACCTAAATGAATCCGGTACCAATATCTATGTATTAGGTTGGCGGGAAAGTTCTGTCACTTTTTTCAAATTGGGCTTTCTTTTTATAGAGAGGCGTGTAAGATCAAAATTGTACAGCAATGTTACTGCGGGGTCCTTGCCAGTTTTTGAGCACCTCATGGATGCCATCGCTTCACAATGCCGGCGCGACGCAAAGTTGGACACCATCTCAATCTTGACTTGAACTCGGGTTATGGAGGTTTTCTCGTCCACATAACGATTGAGTACGGGAGGCAACTCGCAGTTAGAAGGAGCAATGTCTGTGCTACACCAGTGCAAGGGGAGAGCCATCCAGCTCTATTGCATGAGGTACGGCTCGAACTTTTTTGGACGGAGTGCGCTGCACTATCATGATGAGGGCGGGCTGTGCGGACAAATTTTTCCCTCTGATCGCTTTAGATCTCGTAGCTGCTTTGCGTACGCATTGACCGAGGAAGCAGCTTCTTCATCCAGCACTTTCACGACCCGCAGCTCCCTCAATCTGAGTTCACAGGTAACCCAAACCTCACTTCGTCATCAAAACTGTAGGCTCCCGCTTTGAAGCATTAGCGTCGTGGAAGGTTGTCCGATAATTGAGGGCATCGTCCTCATTCAGCTCCATTATTTATCTGCAGGTAGCTATCCATAGGTGACTCCATACTAGAAGTTTCGCAGCTGTTTGGAGGTGACATGAATTCCAAAGGTCAGGCTGCGACTGGAGATGACTTCATATTTTGGTGTACATGAAGGGCTCCTGCTTATCGAGGAACATCTTGGGTATCTTCCGCCACGTCCTCTGTCTGGGCTGCGAAAACTTTGCTGATATGTGACTCGGTCGAAGTGACTTTTTTTATTGCCCCCCCCCCCCCCCTGTATACACTCCTTACTGGTTCCAGTGCTCCATGTCCTCATTTCTACTGGATGGTTGGTCGAATATATGTACCCCTTCACTCTAGCTAGCGGCGTCACAGAACTATGTAGTACATATACAACTACTAATTTTTGATAGCATGTTCGATAGCTACTTTTAGTAGTGGTGACGAGCTCTCCCTGCTCGACGCCGTTTTTTTCATGGAAAAGTTGGGGAAGGATGTTGGGGGAAATCTGGCAAGATGGTAGGTAAGATGGGGAAAGGCCCGGGGGGGGGGGAGCGGTAGTGAGAGAAAGAGCTGTATTAATCTCTGCAAAAAATTGACACAGCATGATGGTGTGCCCCGCCCTTCCGCTCCTCATCGAAATGTACTTAAAAAAATTTATCCGTTGGGGAAACGTGCCGTGTTCCAATACCTCAGGATTATTCCAAGCACCTTAGGGTTACTTTCAATGGTGATGTTCGTTGAAGTATTGCTAATTGGAGTCTCTAATGAGAGAATCCTCCCTCTAAAGAAGTTCGTTCTTAAGGGGAGGGTGAGGAATCGAGCGGGGAAGCGATTGGAGTTAGTCAAACACGGTATCCACCTCAAACGTTCTCCAGCAATTTTTCCGTGACAGTGCTTTCACTTATGCCTTACACCACAGCGTTCTGAGACCCCCCCCCCCTCTCCCCACTTTGATGCCATCTCTGACATCTTGCCCAATGAATTACTGCGAAACACCAGACGTTAATCAGGGAGTGCGAATCGTCGATTGTCCGATGTGATGTCCAAAACTCCTCTGGGACCTGAACGCCTCTAATCGCTCCAGAAAATCTCCCTCCTTCATCACTGTGAAACATAAACACAGTCGTTCTTATACCCTTGCATATCCTGGAAGGGCCCATCCCTTAACGAATAGCCCTACAAAGGATAAAAGGAAGGCGAGCCAGCTGAGCGGGTTCATACAGTCGCTATCAGTTTGTCACGCGGATTAGTTCTTGCGCTCGTATACACTGGCCCAGCGCCAGCTCGATCCCACCAGTCGTTGCCACAACGCGGTGGACTGCCATTGGAAAAGGATTGGCGCCATGCCAAAACGTACAAACTTAAGGACTCCTCTTACCCGATGCTCAGATAAGCAGCAGACAGTAAGCACGTGACGCGTGCGCGCGCCGGTGAGTTTTTCCGCGGACTCGGTATAGGGCGCACCTTCGCTTTTCACCGCCACAATGTTTCTTCTTCGCCCTACATTTGCGTGTTTTTGTTTGTTGCTTCTCCTTTAGAATAAAATATCGTGCGCCTTTAAAAAAGCAATTGAAGGGTGCAAAGAGTCAGGAAGATTGGTGCCATTTTACTAAGTTTTCGTGTGTGGTGTCGCGTGCGATTCCACTGAATACGCCTTATACCACAGAAAGTAGGGTAACTATATAAAACCCTCGGGGTATGACTGTCGGCTGCACTCACTAAAGTGTCCTCCTTGCTGCTTTCTTATAAGGGGTGAGCTTATCAAGCTATGACCAAGAAAGACCACCCTCTCAGTTTGCAGCCACTTTTGGCTGGGTCGAGAAACGCACTGCTAACCTCTGAGTTCTCGCACCTTCAAGCGAGTAGTTTCCCAATGACTTGGTTATTTCCTTAACTGCCCGTACTTGTTAATGATATCTCACTTGCCCTCTCCATTGCATTTTATCGCTTTATATCAATATTTGTAATATTTTTCTTCGCTTGTTGTATTGGTAAGTTTTCAACTTGCTGCGTTGTATTACGAAGTCTGTATTACATGTTTGGAGTTTTATTGTCGTCTGTTATTCACCTATGTGCACGCTCCCGTAGACCTGCAATAAATAAAAAAGAAAATAAAAGTCGTGAGCAGTAAGTGGAAATGCCAAGTGGTAGATTATCGATTTCCGAAAAGGGGGAAAAGAAGGCAAACCCTCTAAAACTATCAAAAATCAGGCGCTTTTTTCCCCAGCACTGAATGACATAGCGGAGAAACACTGCAAAAAGACCAGAGGATGACCGGAGAAACCATGATCAATCATACCAGGAAGACGAGAGAGGCGACATACCTCCGTGGATCCTGGTCCTTGCCATGCGTGAGCTGAATGGTCTGCAGCTGTACTAGCGTGCAACTTTTCCGGTCAAAGTGCACAGGAACGGAGCTGGAGGAAAGATACCCAAGTGCCGTCTCCATTGTGCAACCGCGCTGAGGCCCTGCCAGCCACACGCCTAACCATAGCCAAACGCTCTACTTCTCTACACCCCTCACTTCTGGTTGTTCCCTACCACTTAGTGCGTGTTCCGATGCGGGCCTTGTACTGACGCAAGTGCTGCACCCTGAGGATAGCGCGGGCGGAGTACGGAGACCTTCGGGTAGCACTTTTCTATAGTCTCGTTCCCGTATATTTTTGTACGGGAAACTGGCACGCTACTGCAGCTACATTCTAGCGGTTATTGACAATATGTCTACGGGAAACTCGTCCGAAATTGCTTTTCAAGAACGAAGGCTTTCCTTCGCAGTTTTCGACCGTTTCACTTCGTTTTTCGCCATTTTCCCACTATATAGCGTTCTGCTAGCATTTTAGGCCGAGTACCAAATTATCGTGCCAACTGCCTTTAAAAGCGCATGCTGCGCAACCTTGATCGGAAGTCACCATGTGACTGTGTTTCCACTACTCGAAACAGTTTCCCAACCCCCACATCTGGCACTTAAAAAGGCAAGCACGTGAAAACCATTACTCTCACAGCGAAAGTTCTCAAAATAGCCGTCATTTATGACCCTGACTCTGTTTACTTCATTGGTATGGATTTCCTGACGCTAGTCTTCTTGGCAGTAGGTGGGAGTGGGCGTTTTGTAAACTCGTGTCAACATGTAGGGAGTAAGGTCATTTGTGAATTTGTATGAACTCACAGTGAGCTCCAAAGTGATACCAAATTGATTACCATTATCAGTTTTTTTACACCATCACTCTCTAATTTTTTTTGTCCAAAGTCGACGTTACACAACGTGCTTGATTGCAGTCAAGACCTTTCCTATTAACCCGAAGTAATTCACGCTGTTTCGAATCGAGCTCTCCATCAGACATTAATGCAGTCTCGTGAGGAATCTGCATAGATACTGTAAACTCGTTTCCTGACATAATATTTCTTAATAAGTAGAACTTAGAAGTTTGTATGGCAAGTGGCACGCTTACCACGCACGCGGTCCTGCTGTTCAAATCTGGGGATCGGTCC